GTAGTTTCCATCTCAAGAAACCACTTTCTTTGCTCATCCATTTAGAAGCAGTTCCCCAAGTTGAGGTTCTGTTAGGAGATTGCGGCAGTGCAGTCACATCTTCAGGCTCCACTTATAATTCTAGTTCTCTTGCTGTTTCCACCACATCTGCGTTACTTCCTCCACTGAAGTCTTCAGCCTTTCAAAGTCATCCATAAAGGTTGGAATCAACTTCTTCCAAACTCCTGTTAATGTTGATATTTTGACTTCTACCCATGAATCCCGAATGTTCTTAATGGCATCTAGAATGGTGAATTCTTTTCAGAGAATTTCCAATTTACTTTGCCCAGATCCATCAGAAGTATCACTATGTATGGCAGGTACAGCATTACAAAATGTATTTCTTAAATAATAAGACTTGAAAGTCAGAATTACTCCTTGATCCATGTGCTACAGAATGAATGTTGTGTTAGCAGACATGAAAACATTTATCTCATTGTACATCTCCATCAGAGCTCTTGGGTGACGAAATATTTTGAAAAGAATCCTTTTTTCTGAGAAGTACATCTCAACAGTGGGCTTAAGATATTCAGTAAACTATGTTGTAAACAGGTGTGCTATTGTCCAAGCTTTGTTGTTCCATTTATAGAGCACAGACAGAGTAGATTTAGCATATTTTTAATGGCTCTAGGATTTTCAGAATAAGGAATGAGTGCTGACTTCAACTTAAAGTCACCAACTGCATTAGCCCCTAACAAGAGAGTCAGCCTATCCTTTGAAGCATTGAAACCAGGCATTGACTTCTCTCTAGCTATGAAGGTCCTCGATGGCATCATCTTCCAATGTAAGGCTGTTTCATCTACATTGCAAATTTGTTGTTTAGTGTAGCCCCCTTCGTTAATTATCTTAACTAGATCTTCTGGATAACCTGCTGTAGCTTCTGCATCAGCGCTTGCTGCTTCACCTTGCACTTTTGTGTTCTGGAGACAGCTTCTTTGCTTAAACCACATGAACCAACCTCTGCTGGCTTCAGATTTGCTCCCACAGCCTCTTCACCTGTCTCAGCCTTAGAGAATTGAAGAAAGTTTGGGCCTTCCCTAGATTAGACTTTGGCTTAAGGGAATGTTGTGGCTGGTTTGATCTTCTATCCAGACCACTAAAACTTTCTCCATATCAACAATAAGGCTGTTTCGCTTTCTTATCATTCATATGTTCACTTGAGTAGCACTTTTAATTTCCTTCAAGAACTTTTCCTTTGCATTCACAGCTTGGCTAACTGTTTGGTGCAAGAGGCCTAGCTTTTGTCCTCTTGCGGCTTTCAATATGCCTTCCTCACTAAGCTTAATCATCTCTAGCTTTTGATTTAAAGTGAGAGACATGCAACTCTTCCTTTCGTTTGAGCATTGAGAGACCATTGTAGGGTTATTAATTGGCCTAATTCAGTATTATTGTATCTCAGGGAATGAGGGGGCCTTAGGAGAGAGGGAAAAATGGGGGCATGGCTGGTCGGTGGAGCAATCAGAACACATACAACATTTATCAATTAAGCTCACCATCTTATATGGGCAGAGATCATGGTGCCCCAAAACAATTACAATAGTAACATCAAAGTAACAAATATAATAATAGTGGAAAAGTTTGAAATATTGGAAGAATTACCAAAATGTGACTCAGAGACACGCAGTAAGCACATGCTGTTGGAAAAATGGCGCCAATAGTCTGCTTGAAGTGGGTTGGTACAAACCTTCAATTTGTAAAAAATCCAGTATCTGTGAAGCACAATAAAGCAAAGCACAATAAAATGAGATATGCTGGCAGTGAAGAAGAGAGACAGTAAGAGCTATGGCCCCGCATTTGTTGAGAATTTATATTTTAAGAAATAGAAACATGAAGAGTATTTCTGTGTTTTTTATAAAATTAAAAAGACAGCGCCAACCATTACATTGTTTAACATTTTCTTTACCCAGGCTGTAAAGTAAATTATTTTTTGTTCAGTGCTTGGAATAAATTTCTCTGGTATGCTTCACTAAATAATGAAAATGCCATAATCCACAATTTTTAAATTTTTTGCCTAGGCTGTCATAAAATGCAGAGTTAAAACCTGTGCTTAATTAAAAGTAGCTTTCCTTAGCCTAAGTTTTCCTTGAGATTAGTTTGCTTTTTTTCTTTTAATACTTTTGTTTATGGTTTTGTGGTTTATTGTTGCTGGGACTTTGTAGTAAGGTACCTCAAAATGTAGGGGTACAACAGAGATAAGCAAACAAAATACCTTTAATTTCCACTTTGACCTTAACAGTCTCTGCCTCTGGTCTACGGCAGGTTGTTAACGCATCTCCCAGCCACGCTCAGTCATTTCTCCTCCTGGATACAGACATCTCTATCAGTGTATTCACAGCTTGTGTGTAGAAGGCCAAGCAGATATTGAAGTGAACACGGGTGGACATGTACGTTTTTTTAAAAAAACAACAAATGTGAAAATATTTTTGTGAATTCAAGATCCAACCAGCAATCTTTATATTGTTTTTTAGCTGTAGGTTTTCTTTTGTTTTGTACTATGGAAAAAAAGATTGAGAAAAGCAACACAAATAACCCAAGGATTAGGGAATACATTAATACAGTGGCTCTCAACTGTAGACATTTGGCAGTGCCTGAAGACATTCTTGATTGTCTTGACTACTGGAATCTTGTGGGTAGACGCCAGGGATGCTGTTAAACATCCTACAATGCACAGGACAGGCCCCCACAATGAAAAATCATCCAGTCCAAGATGTCAATAATGCCACTGTTGAGAAACCTCACATTAATAGGATTTTTAGAATTCTAAACCCTGAAAGGATTCAGAACAATCTTGTAATTTAGGCTTAAGACAAAACTAGAGGCAAATTAGAGTCATAGAATTACAGAATCCTGGAGCTGACTGGGAAAGTCATTGAGTCCAGGCTCCCTGTTTCCTACATACGGTGACTGAGTCACCTAGGAAGAAGTGACCTGAAGCAATAGAACTCCTCCACCTCCGAAACATGGGACCAAGCAACTCACCCAATCTCTCTGTGCCTCAGTTTCCGATTCTGCAGAAAGGGATAATGAAACTTGCCTCACATGATTACTGGGAGAATTAATTAAAATAATACATGTGAAATGTTTAGGACAATATCTGGCCACAGTGAGTTGTTAATAAATGGTGGTGGTGAGGGCTGGAGTGGTGATCATCATTACTGTTGCTGTCCAGGGTCACAGAGCTAGTTTGCATCTTGTTTAACCCTGTCCCCCTGACTCTCAGTCCCATTTTCTTTCTATTACCCTGCCTTGAGGGTCTATGAAGAAAGGTTATAGGGGCAACTCAATGGGGATTAGAGAAGACTGGTCTGGAGAGCAGCTTAGTAGCTGGTAACTCAAGAAGAAGTCTGAACAAAAGCTCTCCATGAAAGACAGATGGGGTTTAAACTGTAGATAGGAGCTTTAAGAAAGACATAAGAAAGATTGCTTCCCACCTGAAACAGGCTGCCCTCTGTCTTCCCAAAGCTCTGTGCATGGTGTTCCAGGTGGTCACGCCTCCAGGAAGGGTGGAGCCGAGATCAGATGACTTTGATCAAACCCTTACAGCCCTGACAGGATGTCTGTCTGTCTGTCGAGAGTCCCTGAAATGCCCGGATGATTAAACAGTGTATCTGGGGACCCTTTCAACTCTGAGATTCTCTGATGTCTAAGTTTTGTGGACCTTGTGCTGGAAAGATCATGTGACATTGTAGATAATGCCCAATAGGCATTTGTAGACAACCACAAATCTTGTTTTATGATTTGGGGAGTAAAAATGCTTTGTTAGGCTTTACTAATTCCATCAACATGAGCATATGATTAAGATGCTGTGTAAAACACTTTTTCCCTCTGAAAATAATAATAAGTTAATCTTACCAACAGTTCTGTGAAATGAGTTTCCTCTCATTTTCTTAGGAGACTTATAAAAATTGTTTGCAGTTGCTCTGAGTTGAATTTTTATTTCTGTTGTTGAGTTTACCAGCTAAATTGTTCTTTGTGGGGACTTTTTATTGAGATGTAATTGACATATGACACTGTGTGAGTTTGAGGCGTGCAACATGTTTGTATATTGCAACATGATTACTGCAGTAGTGTTAACTAACACGTTTATCATATCACATAATTATTTCTTTTTTGTTTTGAGAACAGTGAATATCTAGTCTCTTAGCAACTTTAAAGTTTATGATACAGTATTGTTGACTATTGGATCTCCAGAACGTATCTACTTTTTGTACCCTTAAGTTTGTACCCTTAAACAACATCTTCCCAATTCTTCCACCCCAACCAACTAAACTGTTTTTAACCAGTGGTTTTCTATGAAAATTAGCAGAATTCCAAAGCGTTAAAACTCTCCAGATTACAAGCATGGGTTAAATTCACTTGAGGGAAAATCTCGTTCATTTAGTAGTCTTCGCTCAAATATCCCATTTGTTGAATTGAACTCCTAAAAGGATTCTACATGCCACAGAAATATTCTAAATTAGTCATTTAAAGACATTTTCTCCTGTATCTTACATGTTGGTGCTCCAACTATTACAAAGATTATTTTTAAAAACCAACAAGAACAAGTTGGTACGTGAGAAAACAATGAATCACAGCTGATTTTATCTGTTTTCTATATATTTGTATGACATTCGAGATCCACAAAGCATTCAGGGAAAGGCAACACGCACCCATCCAGTGGGTGCTGACCACCAGGCACTGTGCTGGACACCTCCCGCAGCACAGGGCCAGCCACACAGGCACAGAGAAGTTAAGTGATTTCCCCCAAGTCACACACTTGGTGAGCAGGAGAGCCAACAGCGCAGCCCCGCCTGGCTGCACAGTGCACAGGTTTGCTCCATATGAGATCTTGGCAAGGAATATTTCAAGACTTAGAATAATAACAAAAACCCTTCTACAGTTTGACTGCTTTTAATTTAAAATGCCTCATTTAGATTAGTATTCTGTACTTTGATTTGACCTTCAACTTTTTTTTTTTTAAGGTGTTGTGTAACGGACCGGGAACATGTGTTCCTATCTGTATATCTGCCCTTCTCCTTGGGATACTAGGAATAAAGAAAGTGATCATTGTCTACGTTGAAAGCATCTGCCGAGTAGAAGATTTATCCCTGTCGGGAAAGATCCTGTTTCACCTCTCCGATTACTTCATTGTTCAGTGGCCGACTCTTAAGGAGAAATATCCCAAATCTGTGTACCTCGGGCGAATTGTTTGACAAATGACAACTTACTGCTTTAGAATTTTGCAGTCAACAATATTTATGTTTCAGGGAAAGAAAACTACATGTTTATTGTGAAGGCTTCTGAAAGTTCTGAGAATTAGTGGTGGTCAGGAGTGAAAAATGTGTAAATAACCCAGTGAAGAAAATGAGGGCACTCTTAGAAAACAAACATTAATACACCATTAGGCCTCTGTGCACCAAATTTCTTTTCTATATAAAAATATCTGGGCCAGCTTTGGTGGCCTAGTGGTTAAGTTCAGCACACACTGTTTCAGTGGCCCAGGTTCGATTCCCAGGCACAGATCTACACTGCTCTGTTAGCGTCCATGCTGTGCTGGTTGTCCACATACTAAAAAATAGAGGAAGATTGGCATGGGTGTTAGCTCAGGGCGAATCTTCATCAGCAAAAAAAAAAGAAAAAGTAAAATCTATCACTATCTGCAAGTTATCTTCTGACTTGTTTTACTAATATTTTTTTCTAGAACTAAATCTAGAATTTCTATGATTAGTAACATTTCCTGTTCTGCAGCTTTTTTTTTTTTTTTTTTACAGTATTCTGCATTATAAAAAGAAAAGAAAAAGAAAGGAATTTCTTCGTTTTTGTTCAGATACAATAGGCTCTATTTCCTGTATGGAAGCAGCGAAGTCCCTAGTGAACCGGTTCTCTCAGTGTCAAGGAAGCAGTTGTGTTAAACTGGCTTCACAACAATTTGTACTCCACAGGCTTCTAGAACCTTGAGCCTAAACCAGTGTCTTTTTTTGTTCTTTGGTTTTGCTTTGTGAGTTGTTGCCCTCAATCCAGAATATCTTTTTAAAAATGTCTTGTTTAATTGTTAAAATAAATTAAAAGGTGACTCCTGTCAGAGTAATAAAACCATAATTCTGTTTATCAGAAATCCAAACTCTCCAAACATCAAAAAAATGTTTTAGTAAATTCACAACATCATGGCTGTAGTCATCTCTGGCATTTTGAGATGTTTAGGCTCAGTCAGGTATCTGTTTAATAAACATTTATATAGTGCTTGCTGTATGCCAGGTATTCTTCTAAGCCCTTTTCAAATATTAATTCATTTAATTCTGATGATAGCACAGTGAGGTAGGCACTGTTATTAACCCCATTTTACAGATGACTTGTCCAAGATCCCATGACTAGTAAGTGGCAAAGCCAGGATTCAAGCCCAGGCAGCCTGTCTTGAGAGCAAAGCCAGTTTCATGGGCATGTGGCCTGTGCAGTCACATGGGGATCCACACTTAGGAGGCCCCTGCATTGGTTTAATACTCTGCTGTCACCCTCTTGAATTTCTTAATATATTTTGAACAAGGGACCCACGTTTTATTTTGCACTGAACCCCACAAATTATTTACCTGGTCCTGCTTGAGAAGCTGTGCTCTGAATGATGCCATGTCAGCTGCAACGGAAGTAGCTCACCCAGTGTGGGGCCTGGCCCAGGGGACTCCTCGGTTAATGGGAATTCAGTCCCCTCCCTGGAAGCTCTGCTCCCTTAACAAGGCAACAGACAAGGAGAAGACCTCTTGTAGTAGTTGAGTTTTTAATGTTTTCCTCTTAAATCTTTTTTGTAAGTTTGATTTAAATCTAATAAAGAAATGGTAAGAAACTGGTGAAGAGATTGTCTTTTAGTGAAAAGAGGCATGATTACCCGAGGCGGTGTGAAATTAAGAAGCTGAGGCTGATTCAGCCTTTCTTGTTCTTTTAGAGCCTCTCCTTCTCTGAATAAAGTAAAGAAGGGACATCTGTTGTCAGGACATTTTCCTAGGTTTTTGGCTGGAGAAATGCACAGCAGAAGACTCTCAGAACAGTAAAAGCACTTTGACGTCTGGAGCCAGCGGCCATGGGGCAGCCATGCGGTAGTTCATCGTATTTTGACCTTAGATCTCAGATCTCAGGTTCTGGCTGTGTTTCCACTGACGTAAAGGGCTGCAAGATCATCTCAGGAGCTGAGATGAAATAAGGCTCGACTTTTCCAGAGAGAAAGTGATTTTTTAGGGACAGTAGCACGTGCATTTTATTCATCTTTGAATTTTTGTCTCCTCTGTACTTTGTTCCTAAGCGGCACTAAGTAAATAGTTGATGAGTGAAGTTGGACTGCGCTCAATTGCGTTAATGCCTGTCTGTGCACCGGGGCGGCCTCCTGGGCCCCCGCAGGTAATCCTGCTGCAGGGGCTCCTGTCGGGCCAGAGCTGACACTGCTTAGGCTGTGGAGAGTTGTCGAAAAGATGCCATGATTTTTTCCAGAAACACATGTCCCAGATGTTTTGTAGAGCCTTAATTTAGCCAGTGGTTAGCCTGGAACATCAGAGAAAGAGTCTGTGTGTGTTATATCACTAAAAGTTTAGAAATGTCTTCCCGGCTTCAGGCTGCTGTGCACATTCAGAATTAGGCTGAGGCACATGTTATCACGCCTTCATGCTTAGTTCCAGATTATTTGGTAAACAAGTGCGTGCTCTGCCATGTGGTGGTGTTATGGCTAATTTGCGTCCTCGAGGTCACACTAGCAAAGGGGGCTGGTTTGAGGTGATAGGGGTCTCCCTGCTGTGCATTTTTGCGGCTTAAGAAAGATAGTGCGCTAGTGTCAACTCCAGCTGAAGATCAGCAGCTAGCTGGGCCTTTCCCATCGCCCTTGAAACACTCTGGAATGCAGCTTTTACTGGAAGAGGCTGTTCATGAGAAGTTAATTGCATCAGCCTTTCAACAAGAGGCAGGGAAACCACACATCCTGCCCACACCTACTTCCCTGGAAGATTTTTATCTGCAGTTCAGCTGTCCTGAGGGGTCTCAGCAGCTTCCCAGGTCAGAGAGTCTGGCTATTTCAAATAGGACGTCCAGAAGTCGTTACAGGAAGCTTTAGCCTGGAACGAAGAGTGCTATGAAACCGTGTCAACAAGAGGAATGTCGTATGATTTTAAATTGAAAGCAAGAGGTCCTTGCTAGAAAGGAGTTGACCCGAGCTTCCCCTTACAAAAGCAACTTGAAACACATTGTTTACATGGCCTTCCGAAGACAGGTTAAAATTGGGAAACATACTACCCCTTCCTGTGCAGGTCCTTCGGTTGAGTCAGTACTTTATTTCTTCTGAAAAGCCCCATCTCACCAAAAGGAGTTTGATCGTAATAAGCATCTTTCATCCACAATAAGAATGTCATCGTGAGTGTTAAAGAAGATCACCCTTCTCCGTACAGCTCACTGTTGGGTGCCTCACGGAGTTTCTTCCCCATGATTTCAGCTCCAACACACGATGAGCAGGCACCCAGATTTTCCTGTCTGCCCTGAACTTTCTTCTGTTCGGGCCCATCACTCTAGCACTCTAAAAACAAATTGTCTACAGTTGTGTTCTTGTTGCCAACTCACTTTAAACATGGATCTGACATAGCTCCTGCTTTTCCCCCAGGGTAGTGAACTGATGCTAGCCTCTGTCATATCTCTCAAACAACAGACTCTGGAGTAATTTTTGTTTTTTACTTTCTTTCCTTAATCCACTTATAATTAGTTGCCTTTTTTTTTTTAATATCCCCAGAATTTTCTGTTGTATTTTCGTCCTCTTCTCTCCTTGTCATCTCAAGTCACCTGTTGATGCTGCCTTCGAACTAGTTCGTCTCCACGCTTTCCTTTTCAGTCCCGTGGTCACAGTCTAAGCTACTTCAACATAAGTTCCTTATTTTATTAGCACAGTTTTTGGGGAACTGAGGCATAGAGAGATTAGGTAACTTATCCAAGATTTTATAACTGGAAAGTGGCAGAGCTGGCATTTGAACCAATGCCTTTAGCTCCAGCCAGACTTACCCTAATAGCTATGTTAGGTTTAAAGAAAAGCGGGGTGGGGGTGGAAAGGAAATGAAGAGGGAGCAGTGATGGGGAATAAGGCGCTGGGTGCTCTAGAGAGCGATATCAGGGAAGGCCTCTCTAAGACAGGGATGACTGAGCTGAGATCTGAAGGGTAATGCCTTAGTCCTTCCATTTCCCCTCCCAACTGACATTGCACCTCCCCCATAAAGTCCTCCCTGTCTCCCACAGCCTTGTTTCAGCAACTTCTTCTCTGAACACTTCTGTGACACAGCCACCCAGACCTGAAGCTGGTGCTGAGTTCCCTGCCATCACACTGCAATACCCTGTACTGGGAGACGCCTGTGGAGGGAAGAAATTTCTTTATGTTTGCCTTACTTGAGGGACTATACTTCATACTAGCTTTGTATCTTTGCTCCACTCTTGGTCACACCCACCACAGTTCTGGATAAAATGTAGGCATTAACTAAACATATAAAACGTAAATTCTTATACCTTCTGGCTTTGTCTAGACCTACTTAGTTACAGTCTCATTCATGAGACTAATGGGTCTCAAACTTTTTTATCTCAGGACCTCATGACACTCTTAAAAAATTATTGAAGACCTCAACAAAGTTTTGTTTATGTGTGCTATATTTGTCAGTATTTACCACATTAGAAATTAAAACAGAGAAATTTTTAAAATACAAGAATACACAAGGACACATTCCATTTTCCATCAGAGCAGTGATATCATCACACATTACATAGCATCTAAAATCTATAAATTCATGAGAATGTGCAGGAAAAAGGCAAATAACATCTTAGTATTATTATGAAAATAGTTTTGACCTCACGGACCCCTGGAAAGTTCTTGAAGACCTCCAGGGGTGCCTGGGCCACATTTTGAGAACTGCTGCTTACATAATGGCACATCAAGGACTTCATCTCCTCTCACAGCCTTGAGTCAGTCAATGATCTGTGTATTAGTTTTCTGTTGCTGTGTAACAAATTGCCAGAAACTTAGTGACTTAAAATAACGTGTGTTATCTCACAGTTCTGTAGGTTCCGAATGCAGGCAGGGCTTCACAGGTTCACCACTCAGGGTCTCACAAGGCTGTGATCAAGGTGACGGCCGGGGTTGGGTTCTGATCTGGAACTCTGGATCCTCTTCAGAGCTCGTTCAGGTTGTTGTTGGCAGAATTCAGTTCCCTGTGGGTGTAGGACTCATGGTAACCTGTTTCAAGGCCGGCAGGAGAGTCTGTACTGCTGCTGCTTCTCTTTTAAGGACTCACATGTTTGGGTCAGACACACCTAAGATAATCTCCTTTATAATTAACTCAAAGTCAACTGATTAGGGACCGTAATCATAACCACAAAATCCTTTTTGCCATATTAATGTAACATAATCAGGGGAGTGATATCCCATGATATTCACAGGCCCCACCCATACGTCAGGATGGGGATTAGGATGTGGACACCACGGGGTGAAATATTGGGGACCGTCTTAGAATTCTGCCAACCACAATCTGCCAGGGGTTTTCTGTTTTGTTTTAAAAAAATTTTTTTTTCTTTAACCTTTCACTTAGACCACCAAACTCTTGCCTTAGTTAATCCAAGTTCTCTAATTTTTTTTTTTTAACAGGGGAAATTAATGTCTTGCAAACTCTATCCCTTTTCTAACAAAACATTTGATGCCTTGGTTTGTTTACTTGTCAGATAGGCATGGCAATGGTACCTACTTATGGAGTTGTGAGCATCAAACTAGATGGTACACATACTGCCTTTAACACAGAGTCTGACACATGGTAAGCCCTCAGTAACCTTATGTCTCCAAGTGACAAAGGTGACTTCCTTGCTGTGTAAATGGCCTAAAGAAGGGATCTCTTTAAACGAAGTACAGCAATAACTTCCCACCCTCTAGGATGGCTACAGTCAAAAAAAGCGGAAAATAACAAGTGTTGCCAAGGATGTTGAGAAATTGAAATTCCTGGTGGGAATGCAGAACGGTTCAGCAGCTGAGGAAAACAGTTTGGCAGTTCCTCAAAAGGTTAAACATAAAGTTACAGTATGACCCAGCAATTCCACTCCTAGGTCTATACCCCAGAGAATTGAAAACATAACGTTTACACAAAAACTTATACACAGGGACCGACCCCGTGGCCGAGTAGTTAAATTCACACACTCCACTTCAGCAGCCCAGTGTTTCACCGGTTCAGATCCTGGGCGCAGACCTAGCACCACTCATCAGGCCATGCTGAGGCAGCGTCCCACAAAGCACAACCAGAGGGACCTGCAATTAGAATATACAACCATGTTCTGCCGGGCTTTAGGGAGAAGGAGAAGAAGAAAAAGGGGAAAAAAAGAAGATTGGCAACAGATGTTAGCTCAGGTGCCAATCGTAAAAAAAAACAAACTTGTACACAAATGTTCATACCAGTATTATTCATAGTAGCCAAAAAGTGGAAACAACCCAAACATCCACTAACTAATGAATGGCTTATGTGGTATATCCGTACAATGGAATATTAGCCACAAAAAGGAATGAAGTGCTAATGCATGACATGCTACAACGTAGATGAATGAGGCTTGAAAACATGCTAAGTGAAAGAAGACAGTCACAAGAGGCGACATATGATTCCATTTATATGAAATGGCCAGAATAGGCAAATCCATAGACAGAAAGTAGAATCTTTGTTGCCAGGGACTGTGGGAGAGGGGAATTGGGGTGACTCCTAACAGGGGATTTCTTTTGGAGCTGATGAAAATGTACTGGAATTAGATAGTTGTGATGGTTATACAACTTTATGAATACACTGGAAACCACTAAATTGCACACTTTAAAT